CTCGATCCTGCACGGGTGCCTTACATTTCTCTTTGTGCGAACACATCCTCCACTCGCTCAAATCACAGCTGCAGACCGTGCGGTCTCTTTTCACTCAATCATACATCTGCTTAACACCTGAGCTCATGGCGGTTCCACTAGGCACGACTGAGGCTGAAATTACAAAGAAATCCAAGAAATTCGTAGCAAAATCAACGACAGTCGACGATGCAATTCCTAGGAAATCTAAGAAGGACAAAGGGAAGGAGATCGAACTCAGCAACGCTATAGACCAGTCGAGCGACGTAACAAGCAAGAGGAAGAAGGACAAAACGAAGCGGAAAGCAGAGGAGGAGAACTCAGGAGCAAATGAGCAAAATGAGAACGGCACATTGACGGACGGGGCTACGTCGGAGAAAAGGAAAGAGAAGAAACATAGGAAGAGGGATGGAGAACCTGAGCAGGACGAGGATAGGACCACGCTAGACGACGATAACTCGGCGGAATCGGAGACCAAAAGCAAACATAGAAAGAAGCGGAAAAGAGGAGAGAAAGACACTGGCGAGGAGGTGATCTCGGAGCGGCAGTCAGAAAACAAAAAGGATGCTAAAGAGAAGAGGAAAAAGAAACAGACGGACGATGCGACCCAGGATACAGTCGAGGTTCACAAAAAGAAACACAAACGTCCGAAACACGGCTTCTCGGACCCCAACGACGACGAATCTCTCTCAGACCAGGCACGAAAAGGTTCGTCTACCGGTGATTGATACAAGTGAATACATAGCTAACACTTTCCCGGTGATCTGTGTGTAGCTCTTGCCTACGCTTATACACAGGTCGACGATCCTTCGCGTTGGAAATTCAACAAGGCCCGTCAAAATTGGCTCCTCCGGAATGTCTGGTCGGAAGAAGCGGTGAGATCCATGTCCCCAATACACGAGCCTATGTGGAAGACTGATATCTCCGTGGATTCGTTTTGTTCGATCGTCAGGTACCAGAGAAATATGGCGAATTAGCGAGCAAATATCTATCAGGTGTGCAAGGTGGAGTCCGGGAGGTAATCCAGTATTCCAATTGCACCTCACTCTACGTTACTAAATGTATAATTTTAGAATCTCCTCAAAACCTGCCGAGAAATTCTTGCTGCACCAGTAGAGAAGCCAGCAATAGATGTGCCCCCTGTGAATACAGAAGCAGCGACCAATTCTGCCGGTGCCAAAGAAGTCACGGTGAACTTCGAGTCGGCAGCAAAGCAGAGTAGAGCTCGGACATTACTGGCAGTTCTAACCGGTACTGAAGATGTATAGATATGTTATCTCCCTATCAGCGATGTCTTCCATTGAAAACACATAATGCAGGGCCTAGCTAACTTTGCGCTGTGATTCCGAGTCCTTCGCGTACGATGTTTTTTGGCAGGTATGTAGAGGAACTTGGGAATATCTGATGTGATCATCCGGTGTCTTCGAACATTCTTCGGCAGGTATAAACACCGGTGCACCATCCCACTGAACAATTGGAACGATATTACAGACTGATGGGTACGGAGGGCCTAGGATCTCAATGTTTTCTAGTTGATAAGGCGTATGCAGTAAGTCATAAACCTCTCTTGATACAAATTAGACCGAATTGATTCCAATGGCCTGGAACCCGTCTATTAAATGTCCGAGCCCGGGCCAGTCGCGCTCTGGTGTGGGTTCCCTGCGATATGAAGCTGAGTTGTGATTATTGTGTACCTGAAGGCGGTTTCGGGAGAGAAGCATATTCTGACGCTCTTGGCCGATTTCCGAAGCGATATATCAGTGCATAAGTACCACGCGAAGTTGTTGCCCTGTGGTTAATCCTCCCAGCCGCATTCCGCGGATAGGACCGACCATGAGCGCGTTGTTCAGCTCGTTTTCTCAGTTTATACTCCTGGCAGTGTCGACATGGGTGCTATTCCGTGTCTTTGGGCATTACTTCACGAAGTCTCCTTTGGACAATATACCAGGTCCTCCGAGAGGCTCTTGGTTGACAGGTACTTACCTTGACCTTGCAAACTCACTTTTCTAACCTCTGATAATTCATATTTCAACGTTAGGACACATGTCGGACTTATTCCACAGTCGCGACGCGTGGGGGTACCATCAATCAATCAGTGATAAGTACGGCTCGGTGTCACGAATACAAGATGCATTTGGGGTGGGTCTATAAAGTGATGCTCCTCATTTAAGTTGGTATTGAACGTTTTAGCAGGGCAAAGCTTTATATGTCTTCGACTCAAAGGCACTACAAACTATTCTTGTGAAAGAAAGATCCGCTTTCGAACTTCCAACCTGGATGTGTGCGTACGTGGTATGGAAGATTTGAGCTTAGTTGTATATTCAAGGCAGTTGTACAGGCGCAATCGGATCGTTTTCGGCCCATCGCTCTTCTCAGCCACCGGTATGTGGAGAATCTTACTGACAGCATCCTGTAACATGACTTTGAGATTACATTTGCCTAGGTGATCACCACAATCGTCAGCGCAAGATGTGAGTATTCTTTCACCTGTGAGAATATAGTCAGACTCATTTACTCGTCTCAGCATGAACCCTGCTTTCTCAACACCCAATATACGGCTGATGACGCCTATATTTTATCATGTAGCTCATCAAGTACGGTTATCTCCATCATTCATGTGGTAGCTGTATTAATCTTTCTTTGCAGATGCGGGATGCCATAGTCATCAAAGTGGGAGAATCTCAGCAAGAGGTTGATATCCTACGTTGGGTCGGTCGAGCAGCTCTTGAAATGATAGGCCAAGGTGGCTTAGGGTTTTCGTTCGACCCGCTCAGGGAAGCTGCGGTCGAAGATGCCCTCAAAGATCTAGTGTGCGTATTCCCTCTACCTCACAGTGCCTTTCGGTAGCAATATCCATGATTTTTTTTTTCGAATCACAGGCCTATGCTGAATAAATTTGATGTATTGAGGCCGTGTGTAACTTACATCGCAAAGTTGGGGACACCTTCCTTTCGACGCCATTTGACAGGACTATTGCCTTCCGCTAACGTACAACGCATGAAGCAGATCGTGGACACGATGTACGACACGTCAAGATATATTTTCAACATACAAAGCTCAGCCGACAAAGCAGATAGCACTGCGTCGTTGAAGGATCGGAATAAAGTGAAAGGGAAAGACGTGATGAGTCTACTTCGTAAGGAAATTTTGTCATGATAAGCCTGAGTATACCTGACCGATAATTCAGTCAAGAGCCATGCCATTGGAGAGCATCTAGGAGACGAAGAGCTGGTATCCCACATCTCGTAGGTTCGGCCACCCTCTACTTGGACCTCTAACTAATGTATCCTTAATAGCACAATGCTTTTCGCTGGGACGGATACAACCTCGAATGCATTGGCTCGCACCTTGCAGTTGCTCGCCGAGCATCAAGACATACAAGACGAACTAAGGGCTGAGCTTGTAGATGCTGGCAGCGGTGAGGACATTCCATACGAACGATTGGTTGGGCTGCCGCTTCTTGACGCGGTATGCCGCGAGACACTTCGTCTGTGAGGATTTCTAAATCACTAATGATAACCCAATCTAACACATGGGCAGGTATCCACCCGCGCCCGTCGCAATGCGCGAGTAAGTGAACTTGTGAGCTCTGAATCTTGTTTGAAACAACGTTTGCTAGATCTGGACACGAAGTGTTGCTGCCTCTTTCCACGCCAATTATCGGTCTAGACGGCGAAGTCATAAGAGAAATTTTGGTCCCTGCTGGCACAATAATTTTGATAAGCATCTTGTCTTGCAATCGAGACAAAGCTGTGTGGGGCGAAGATGCTTTACAATGGAATCCAAGTCGTTGGTTATCACGTCTGCCGGAGACTGTCATACAAGCGCGCATTCCCGGAGTATATTCCAATCTGTAAGTGGCTCATTTCTTTTGAGTATGCGAAGTTTATTAATACTCTATTGGCCTATTTTAGAATGACGTTCCTCGCAGGTGGAAGATCGTGCATGTAAGTCTGCTATGTAAAAATCGATTTAAAGATAGTTTCTGACCTTCAGTCCTGCGTAGTGGTTTTAATTTCTCTCAGCTGGAGCTAAGTAAGTGGGCTGTTGTGGATTGAGAACTTGTGAATTGACGTCACTTTTAGAGGTTGTGTTATCTGTCCTCTTGCAGACCTTCAAATTCTCCTCGACGGGGAAGCCGATTGTTTGGAACTTTGCGGCTGTGAATTTTCCCACTGTTGATGGTACCAATGGGAAGGCTTCAATGCCTTTAATTGTTTCCCGCTGCTGAAGAATAAGCGTTCTTGCAATATTACCCCTTACATGATGTGATGTTGGATCGGAATACCGGTATGCGGCTACTATGTGAAACACCACTGTTGAAGCTCTGAAGCTTGGGGGTTTGAAACGTGAACCCGGAAGTAAGGCTCCAACCCTTTAAATTATTTACTCTTTATAAAGAGTTACAACTCTTTACGTTTCTCTTTATTTACAAAGGCCGTGTAAATTGGTGTAAACTGTTTATAAAGAGTAAATAAAGAGTATTTGAAGGAGCTATAATGCAGGCCCTATATATTGGAATATGCATCAACATGAAATTACATGACCTATCCTTGACTCTATACTGCCGTTTTGTGTGCGAGTTGAGTTTGACTTAAGGATTGTACCGTTCATTGGCCTTACAGACCGCAGAAGCGCCCGTATGGGGCGCTTATGGACGTAATGCAGCTTGACTCGCGAAGTCACATCCGCTTGACCCTCTTGACTTGAGAGATACTTCGGTAATGCAGCATGTAAAACCAGAAAACAACATTAGCGATACAATAGGAAAATCCTTCTGTAGGCCCCCCACCCTTTAGTTAGAAAAAAATGTATTCTAGTTGTAAACTTACTGTTTACTCTTTATAAACTGTTTATAAACTATTTACAACCCTTTCTCTTTATTTACGGCATCAGTGTAAAGGTAAAGTAAAGGGTTGGAGCCTTACCCGGAAGTTGGACACTTAGAGACTCTGTAGCGTTGAAAATAAGTTTAAAAATACTGACGAAAGTGGGATTCGAACCCACGCCCTTTCGGACTAGATTCTTATCAAACAGACCTGATTCTAGCGCCTTAGACCGCTCGGCCATTTCGCCATGCCTCATCTTCAATTAACCAAGCTAGTACTTGACGAAGTCAGTCCGATCGTGACTCCGACGCCCAAATCTTCAGTTAATTGAAGCAGTCTTGTACTGAAATTCAACCTGAAGCTCGCAGCATCCCTCACACTCCTAAATGGCGTTCCGGATGCCTTTTCGTCGTGCAATGAGCTCTGTAGCTCGCCAGTCATTAAAGATTGGCTTGGTCCCAGCTGATGGCATTGGAAGGGAAGTCATCCCAGCAGCTCGGACGGCTATTGAGGCACTCGGGTCGGACATTCCCAAGCCCCAGTTCATCGATCTATTGGCAGGATTTGAATTGTTCACAAAGACTGGGACGGCATTACCAGAGGAGACTATTGCGTGAGCTTCGCAGCTGTCCATCCTCATCTGCATACTGACCGGTACTTCAGGGCTTTAAGGGAGTGTGATTGCGCTTTATTCGGCGCCGTTAGGTATGTCCATTCAATTTGAAGACTGAACTATGGTGACATGAGATAACTGTATTAGCTCGCCGTCGAAGCGTGTCACCGGCTACTCGTCACCTATCGTTGCGCTTCGCAAGGAGTTGGATCTCTACGCCAATATCCGCCCCGTCGTCTCGGTGAGAGTTCAATGAACTTTGTGCCATAAATAGAATACGAATGCGGGACATAGGTTGCAGCAAACCCAAGTGGCAAGCCCAGCGTAGACTTGGTGGTTGTACGTGAGAACACTGAATGCTTGGTAGGTCGTTCTTCAACCAAACGGAGCTGCGTCTACTAACCTCGTGTTTTCCACACTATCAGTATGTCAAGCAAGAGACAATCATTGCTACAGAAAACGGACGCGAGGCCCGCGCTGTACGTCTTATCACAGAACGGGCTTCCCGTCGAATAGGCAGAATGGCCTTCGAACTTGCGCTTACTCGTCCTCGCAAGGTAAGCAATGCACAGTGCAGCAGAGCACTGAACACAGTCCTCACAGATTTAAATCGGTTAGCACGTCACTATCATTCACAAATCAAACGTTTTATCTGTCACCGACGGTCTCTTCCGAGAGACTGTTCGTGCGGTCCCCCGCCAGGAGCCCGGAAAGTTCGATGATGTTACAATTGCTGAGCAATTGGTTGATAGCGCTGTTTATCGGTATGTTGAGAGATGTATATACCCTTATTCCCTTATTGGTAGACCTGATCACCGTTTCGTAGGTTGTTCCGAGAGCCAGAGTGAGTATTGTCCTCTAATTATCGAGGTGTATATGCTAACCGGGCACTATGTAGGATCTACGACATAATGGTTGCGCCCAACCTGTATGGCGACATCATCTCGTGCGTATCCTTCCCTATTACATTACTCCCGTGGTCGCTGACATGTAGTTTAGCGATGCTGCCGCCGCTCTTGTTGGCTCACTGGGTTTGGTTCCCTCCATCAATGCCGGAGACAACTTCGTAATGGGAGAGCCGTATGTGTTTATTTCTTAATCAAGCTTTGGAAATACTAAGGATTATTTGAAGCGTACATGGTTCCGCCCCTGATATCGCTGGCAAGGAGATCGCCAACCCCATTGCTTCTATCCGGTCTGCTGCCTTGATGCTCCGCCGCCTTGGTTACATTCAGGGCGCAGACCGCATCGACAACGCTGTCGATGAAGTTGTCAGGCAGGGCACTGTCCTCACTCCTGACCTCGGCGGTAAGAGCAAGACGCACGAGGTCGTTGATGCTATCATCAAGAGGATTTAAAATAAGTAATACTGCTCTGGGGCGAAACCTCCTGAAAAATGTGCCTTACTGTGACTATAGGTCATTATGCTCAATAGTCAATACATTCTAGACATCACGTTAGGTAGTGCATTACAAGACATTTCCTTCTGCCCACTTAGAATGAACGAAGCGAGACGAGAAGTCAGGGTGTAGAATCTGATGGTGGAGTATATCTGTACATGTATAGCAGGCTTCTCTTCTAATAGCTACAATTATCTGTTCAAGGCCGGCGTCGTTTCACAGAGTCTGCCCATTTCTCAGTTTCTTCTTCCACTTTCGGTCTCTTCAAATCCGACGACGCTTACGAATGGGCATTAAATGATGCCTCTTACACAATCGATAGGAACTTACATGGTCTAACTCGTGGGTCACTTATTCTCCTCTCGGTGGATAGCGACTGGTCTTGAGGCTCTGATTTCACTAGCAAAGATAATTTCAAGCAGTGAGGATCCCGCAGAGCTTATTGTTTGACATAAGGGAGCAACGCACTTCTATTTATCACAGCTTGACGACTCATTTCCCCCACATCAGCACGAGAGGCACCCAAGTGTGAAGCACCGTTAGGCGGTGTGATACCATGGTCCCGCGGCTCGGCCTTGACTGCAAGAGGATACGCGTCGGTCTTGGGGAGATATAACATAGAAGACATCAAGCCCTCACTCACCTGTCGCACCCATAGGACTGATATCAGAATGACCAAGACCCTCAGCTTCATTATTCGAGATCCATATTTCAGTAGACTGTCCCCATGATAGTTCTCAATAGCTCACGTTCCGTAACTTCTTCCTTGAATCGCACTGATTGAGACCGACTTTGATTATATAAATCTATGGCGGCTTGCAGTTCCGCGGAAATCTCTTCGCCTGGTAGTATCAATCAGTCTGAAGGCATCTCAAAGGCAGATAAATCTGTCCTACGCACTATCTGCCTCGGGTTCCGCCTCCATGGTTGCGTTGCTTTCCTGCTTGATGGGAACTTCTGGCCGCAGTGGCGCATCTGTAGGCTCAGCTTTCAACGCGAGCAATGCCTGGTCCTCTGTTAGAAGTGTGCTGTATTAGGTTATTTATCTTGGAGCCATCCGATCCTCTCACCTTCGTCGTACGGATCAAGCTTGTCCATATACAATTGACCTGCAAATATCAAAAAGCTCGAATGATGGGTCGCATACCGCATGAAATGAAACATACTCGGTTGAGCTGTAGCTGGCTCCTGCTTAACTTGCGATGGTAAGCCTACAGCTGGTCCTGGTCTTTGTTGGACCGCCCTCGATTCATCAGACATAAGGTCGGCCAACGTCTCCCGCCGGTGCACATTTTCAGGCTTCTACATCAGAAATAGTCAACAATTCAGAGCAATGAGACTTCTGTTATATAAATGACATACTGGCGATGGAGGTGGTTTAGGAGAAGGAGAGCGCGGCTTGGCCTCCTGGTCGCGTATAGGCAGTGCAAATTCCGTGCACGATAGTCCGGAATGGCTAACCCACGCTGGTGCCGGATACGGCCGCTTGATGGGGGGCTCTCCCCAGTCGGACGGTGGACGACTTGGGGGAAAATGTTCGGCCCAACGGTCTGTATTGACAGCATGACTTAGATTCTGTATCAGCAGGAGACCAGAAACGAAAATCTCACGGAACTCTGGGCGGCCATGACGCCGATAATTATATTCAAAGATGAAGGAGAATTTGGCGGGCGGTCGAGGTATCGTGAGGAAATTTGGCCAAAAATGCATTCCAAAGATTCCACTGAGGTCAACGCCTTCCTCAAATTTCACAATAAGGTCATTGCGCTGCGATCAAGCAACAGTACGTCAGTTATACCAGTACGATGATATATGTTCCATGCCACAGCGACCTCCGCGTGGATACTACCCCCAAAGTTTAGGACATAAGAAATATGTTCTACGTACCGTTTTCACATAGTAAATTGTGTCCGGAGATGCCTGCTCACCCAGCATATAAAACAGCCAGAAGGCAACTTTATCAAAATATCTAGCATCTCGATTGGAACTGTCACGACCGCCTGGCCATGGGTCACCAATGACCACGTACTGGCATTCTGGATCGTCGACGTATGGAGGGCCTTTAGGTTTGGGCATTCTGGAAGAACATTAACAGAATCAACGGTGCAGAAATGCCTCGACTCAAAACGAACGTTGTGCCCGTTGGTCGATGAGGTTTGAAGTTCGCAACCTGGGACCTGTGTCAATATTTAAATACGTGCCACTGGGCTTCTGAGGACAATGGCAGTGATGCTCATCAACTCGGAGTTAAAGTGATCAAGCACTTCTCACCATTTAGGGCAGGAGCATACTATTCTTCAAGTCTTTGTTACGGTAAACGTAACCCATCAGGCGATGTCTTATGTCAAAATAATTCGCACTGACAGCAGGGCAGAGTACTACCGTATCCAGGATGATACCTCCTTGCGCAGCCAGCTGATACAACCGTCAATAGTATGTACACGGCACCACTGGCAACAGTGCGGCCAAATATAACGAGTAGAAGCACTGGCACAACCACACACCGGTGAGAACTTCACGGCCCCCGAATCCCAGCTGCGACTTCAAGAATGGGCCGTGCTAGCCGTAGGATAACATGAGCGATGTTGTTTGCCTAGTTACTAGTAGAGAGACCTAAGAATGGCAATACCACAAGTTCGAGGTGGGCCTCCGCGGTAGTATAGCATGACCACAAACTATCGCAGTGGGTCGGAAAGCAGATCTGGGTGCAGTGCAACCACCGCTCAGATCAAGCTCGCTGTCGTACTGCAAATGTTTATCCTAAACTAGATCTTATTCAGTCGTCATTACGAAGAGTAGAGAGGTAACTCCCACCTTCGAAACACTGTAGAGGAATATAGACTATAGTTGATCCATATTATGAAATAACTGGAATAATGGCGTTGAAACGGATTACTTCAAGATTAAGAGATACATGATATAAATATACAACTAAGCAAATGACGGTCCATAATGTGACAACATGATTGCACCTCCTTATAAGCCCATGAATCTAAATTAGTGGTAATGTCAATGACGTCCTCTACACTCTAAGATCTCGGTCTAATTCCTTGATGAGAAGATCGTTCGTTGCTTTAGGATTGTCCAGATACACTTGTCAATAATGTCAGTATGAGCTTGTTTAGCAAAACAAAACAAAAAAGGCGCACAGTGGTGACCAGCGTGAGGAACGATGTACATTCTACCCTTTCCATTCCCTGCCTTACGGAGCACCTCTACAGATTCCGAGCCCCC